CTGTATTACGGTATATTTTGCTGCCTTTATATATCAAAGTTTCGATATCGACATATATATAGGGTGTTTAAAAATAGATGCGAAAAATTTAGTTTCTATATAAAAAAATTAAATGTAGGTCGAATGTCAAAAAAAAAATAAATAAAAATACAAATAATTTTTGTTCGGTGTTGTGTGTTGTCCAACGGTATTTGTACTAACATTTATGATAATCTTCCAAACAATTATGTTTCAAAAATAATTTATAATCAAACATAAGCTGTGATTAGGTATACCATTTAGATATGCTTGTGTATAAGTACAAACTTTAAAGAATCAAAGAATTTGAATTTGTTCTCCATTACTTAAAATGCATTTCTGCATTAGTGTAATTAATCATTATTGAATTAAAACTTTTTATTATTAAACAATTGAAGGATTAGATAATCAGTTTGAATTAGTGCTATTTTTTATTTAAACTAACTAAGTATTGTCAAATGAAACAGTAATAAGAAACGCCATAGGAAGTGACTATAATTTTTTTGATTATATTTTTTTATTTGTGGACAGTGAGTATTATGAAAATATTCTAGAAGACAAAAGTTTCTATATAAAACATAAAAATTAACAAAATAAGTTTTTCTTTGGTGCTATATATTTTCTTCTTTCAGATAAAACATAAAAACAAAGTTTATATAACCAACTACCCTCTATTTTACACATAGAATTACCCCCTTAAGTTTTTCTTCTTTGTTTTGAAACACCATAAATACAGGGCAATTGACGCTATGGCCAAATGGTTTTCAAAAAATTTTGCTTATGGGATGCTTAAATTTCTATTATGGTATTTTTAAAAAGCCATTCAAGCAATAAGTGACCTCATCTGAATAAACATAAACTTGGGAAATTTGAATTTAAATAAGATTAACCCACTCACTCACCATTGCGAAGTTCCTGTATGAAAATAACATTAACTCTAAAACCTAGAAGTTACAAATCCCCATGAACAGGTTACTTGAAAGCATTGATATTTTCATTAATAGTTATGGTTTTCCGAATGCAAGATAGGTAACTCTACTCCTACTTTCCACTATTCATCTGCATTGGGTTTAAATTATTCTATTATTCTCTTTCGGTTTAAGTAAATCTAACCATGTTTTAAGTTTCACATGCATAAGGAGTGGTTCTGTAGCTAAACAGGAAATTAACTATTAACTGATCTTTTGATCAAGACGAAGATTTTTGTAGTAAAAAAAGTGTTTCTTTTTTTTGCGGTTTGCACTTGTCTTTTCCGCAAGGGTGATATGGTGGAGAATTTAAAACTTGATATCAATCATATGACAAAATTTAAAAATGCTTCCTTCTTGTAACAATGTTCCTATGAAGCGCATTTCTTCGTTTTGAAAATGACTGGTATATTGTCACTTGTTATTTTACTGGTCATTGCGATTCTAGATGTTTTAAGTTCGAGGATTATCTGGATATATTGTCCTATCGCTGAAATTTGTACCTGCATGCCACATTACATCAATTTTCCCTTGGAGAATTTTCATGATTCTTAGGTTATAACGTTCTGCGTCAGTTTAGCATTTAGTGTGCTTTTGGTATCCGTTATTCCTGGTCAATATTTTGTACGATTACCTTGATTACACCTGTATTTTTGTGTAAAACTTGTTGCATTCTGATTTTTTTAATTGTTTACTGTAATCATACGTCAAGCTTCCAAATGTCACCGGCCGGAGTCGTTACTGGCGCAGTTGCCAGATTGTGGAATAGTCTCTAAGGTTTCTCGCGAAGAATAATAATTCCTTATGTTAAAATTAATTGCTTTTGAGTGTTTGGGTAATGTAACTCGATAGAACGTTTCTGGTCTTTATTACTTGTTTAGTGTTACGTTTTGCTCCGCATTCTCGGTTGTTGTGATTGATACATTGATTTGCTGGTTGATTTGGCATTACGCGTCGAGTTTATCTCCACCTGTGATCGTGAATGCGGTGGAGTGAGACGCCCAATGGGACTATGTGAATGTTAGACAAGCATATCTTGATCTTCGTTGTTCATGAGGGTTGATTTTGCGTGTAGAGAACACATTAACGTTCGAATGGGCTTCGCAGTGTAATAGAATTTTTCGGTGTGATTTTGGTGATTTTAAAGAAAATACCAGGCCACCGAGTTGAGACATCCGCCAAAGATTCTTCGAGTAAACTATTGTGCCATCATCTGGATCAGACATTTGGATGTTTTTGTATTTGTTTTCTGATAGGTTGTCTGCGCCATTTTGGGGATGTGATATATGTACGTACCTCATGCATCCACATGAGGTTCTTATTTTTGCTTTGTTGGCACAATGGCAATTAGTTGATACGTCTTACACTCGTACGTAAACCCCGATCATCACCTACAGGTATGTGATATTTTATTTCGGGTGTAGTAACTGATTTTTGGCATTCCCTTACAGGGGTTTTTCTTTTTTTCCTTTTATTTCCTTTTTTACCATTTTTTCTTCCGTTTTCTATCTACGTTGTTTGCCTTGTACGGCAACGTTTTGGAATTCAACAACTATTTGCTGTTCGCTGCTGGAGTGACTCGCTTAATTTGGTAGCAGCTCTTCACCGCAACCAGTCAATCGATCGCGACCGTGCTATCGGATACAGCCGGATTCTAAATCAGCGTACACGACTGCAGCCACTACTTACAGGAACCGCAAGGTATAACACCTTTTTTTTTATTCAACTGAATTTATCAAAACTGAGTTTATATTTAGCCTTTTAAATTTTTAATTATCATTTTCATAAGTTAGTTAATAAGTATTTTACGTACTCTATAAGTGAGACATTGCATTATGGGGGGTACGTCCATGTAAACAATCGTGATCAAGGGTTGGTTAAAAGTACTCACTCAATTAATAGTTTTTTTTTCATTCATTTATTTTGCTGCACACAAACATCTTTGAATCCTTCAATACTTGATGCAACACATCTTTTTTCCTTTTTCTTTAGTCAATTTTTTTTTCTTTATTTCTTTAAATATATTTCACACTATCTTTCCCAGTTGAAACGAGCTATCCGCCGTTTAACATGATCTCCAGAGTCGTTCTGCAAACTAGCGAAATTTCATCAGAAAACACTATAGTTGTCTCACGCTAAAGCACTTGTGTAGTAGAAAAAGTAAGGGCACCCAAATGGATCCATTCAAAATGGACATTTTTAACTGACTACACATATTTTTGTTGAAACTTCTGTCTCAAATTAAATCTAGAAAATTTGAAAAACTTGAAACTAAGAAAACATTCTTCTAATTCGAAAAAATTAATTCTGGAACTAAATATTTTATGAAGCATTCTTGAAAATTTTCTTGAGTCATCTAACCATTATTGCTGTTTGCTTTCCAATTATCAGTGGCGTCAGGTAATGAGATTTTGATGCCTTTGCAGTAGGTCTACAACATTTTCCTTGGCCGAGTTGTGAGGGTTGGCAGCTAGTAAAAATTGCATCGAATTGACCTTTTTCTTTGACATTTTCACTATTTGGCATTCTTAAACTGTGCATTTTTTTTTAATGTCAACAGTGGATTCAATTATAATTCACTCTCATCTCACAAACCCCAGTTTCAAAATCAAAATATGAAAAATAATTTTAATAGAATTTTCTGAAATTTATTGAATTTTTATAACATTGATTTTCATACAACATGGCGCCTATGAATCGAATGTGCAAGCTGCAAATATTTTACTCACAAATAACGAGCGTAATGATTTATTTTCTGCCTCTTAGTAGTTTTAATTGCAAAGTAAAGAAGACTGTTTTTAATCAACCGGTCGCCTTGTAAACGTGGTAGTTTAGCAACTGTAAGTGTTGGTGTTACTATTTTTCTTAGGTATACTATACTGTAATCATAATAAATGCTAAATGCGTAAATAAAAATTTTGATTTTAATTTTATAATGTTTCACAAGCGACAAATCATAATAAAATTCTGGGATGACCAGCTTTTCAACCAGATGTTAGAAAAATAAATACAACTAAATTCAATTTCAGGTATAAAGAAAACGGTCTTATAATCTTCAGGAGGAATAATTTAGTTTTTCTACTCCCGTCTGTAAAATACCTAATTATCCACCGATCTAGCGTGCGGGAAGCGTACCACGAATCCGAGCCACTGCGGACATTTCCGCGATTTTACCGCACGGGTTTGGGAGCAATCGGATGTTATCGGAGATAATTCCCACGTTTTTTGACGTTTGTCAATTCTGACGGTCATGTCAGTGAATGTATTCCTGTTGTTTTACGAAAATGTACCCATACTCCTTGTGTGGGCCCTATGTATTGTTTATGATGTTCTGTAGATTATGAGTTCGTAGCACAATTTAGTCACACTGACGTGTAAACTGCTTACAATGAAAGTGATTCTGGGATCCACGAAATGTCCGTATATTAGGTTAGGACGCATTTAACATAAACCTATAAGATATACAGAAATCTGTTTTTGCGTTCTAATGGTTTTTATAATGCCTGCTTACAATTGGAATTTCGGCAGAAAATTTGTTTCAATTTTATTGTTGACAATGTTTACGTTAATCCTCGATATGAGGATAGCACGGAATGGTACCCAACACTTTATGAGGCCTTTATTGCTTAATGTGGCGCAGTTTTTGTCGTATTGTCCGGCTCTTTAACCCATAATCGTGAAGTGAGGTAGATGAAGGAGGGCATCATATATGTTTGTTTCTGGCCTGTTGCGAATGCGAGTGAGGCTGGTAATTTCAGATTAGACTAAAACTAAGAACTGTATTCAATTCGTGTAGCACGAATACGTGGCTTTTTGTAAAATTGAAGGTTTTCGGTGTTATTGTTGGTTTAATGCATTTTGTGCCAGTTATTTTTCACTGTAAGTGTCCATATTCCTTGTCTGCTATAGTGCCTACGCCCTTTTTGAGATATATACCCACATCTACCTCGATTAAAGCCTAAAGGTTTGTGATATTCTATTTTACATGGGCTATTCAAGCTCGCGATTGCTAGTCGCAGGAACAGGGTAGAATTTGGTTTTTGGAGTGATAGCTTACTTTTCACACCAGATCGGCTAACTCCCGGTTTGGTGGAGCTTTTTGCAGCCCAACAGCTCCTTCATTCTGTTGTTCGCCTGTAGATCATTGGCCAGGATGACTGTAAGTTATAACTGTTTTTCATTATTTGATTAACAACCTGATTAACAGAATTTCTATATGGGGAGGCATAATATTCAGTGCCCTTGATTGCTAATAAAAGAAAAACTTGTGGCGCATAATATTGTAAGCAAAAATATATGAAAGTAGAAAGTAAGAAAGGGAAATAAAATGAAATACTAAAATAATTAGTTATTGATAATGGGCCAGGGACTGAGTTGCAATTGATTCTGAAAAGGATTCTGAAACTAGGTTTGATTATTGATGTAATTAAAATGGTGTTCTGTCAAATAGGTTTGAAAAAGCTTCAAAATAGATGCAAAACATCCTCATTATCTTATATTCCCTAGGATTGACTCCCACAATCCACAAAAAATCAAAACTTGATGCTTGAAGTACTATACTTTTTCTACAGTATTGACAAAATAATACATACTACTTCTTTCCATAAAAGTTAATTGATCAATAACTAAATGCCCATTCAAGGTGTATTTTACTCTATCCAATCCAAAAACTTACTTTTTTTTTGTTTTTTATCTATAATTTTTCTTTTTACATTTTCTTTACATGGGATATTCAAGAGTTATCGTTTTGTGGTTGTGGTTTTATGGCTTATCCCCCTTATTAATAAAGCTAGCCTGTTGCAGTTTTTGTCATACTTTGGCTTTGAAATACTGCATTTTCAGAAACCCTTGGTAGTTTGGTTATGCGTTAACTTATTGAAAAGGCGAAGACTGACGTAGGTATAGTTTTTTACGATCCAGTGGCGTAGTCAATTTTCTTCTCAATTTTTCCTGATTACGTCAGAGCTAATTCAAATACAATCATTTTATTTTTTTATTGAGCAAGTAATGACCAAATGAGCTTCTGCTTTCATTAATGCTTCATTAATGTTGCAAATCTTTATATATTTTGTCCTTATTACTGTTGTGACTAACTTCATCACCCCACAAAGCAATCTACGAAATATCTTGCCTGCCTTACATATATGTACTTGTTCTTTTTTGCCAAATCTAACAGCTGTATTCCAATTATTTCCAAGTAATTGTATTAATTGAAAAATATTTCTTCATGCTTTTTTTTAAACTGCATTTTTTCCCAATAAATTGGTCCCAAATAATTTATGAAAAAAAAAGAAGATGTTTGACGAATGTGAAATATGTATCTATTAGTTTATTTGTATATGCAAGATATATCTTACTCTGACTTTCTAATTTTTAATAGGATGCTCTGTATGTTACTGCAAATTTGGACGAGTCGAATGACGTAATGTATTGTGTGGGTCTGGGTACCAACGTTTCGGATTTTTTGATTTTGTTCTTCAGTCTGACAAATTCTTGAATTAACAAATTCGGTAAATAAAAGTTTTTTGAGATTTGTTTGCATGAAAAGAAATCGAAATGTTATTTTAACTACACATGTTTAAACATTATTGTTAAAATTTAAACATGTTACTGTAAACTACACGTTTTGCTATTAAAACATTTATTGATTTACTTTTTACAAAATTTCTTGATTCCTCCTGCGTCAGTTTTTGCTGAGTCGAACTTGCCGACGTTTCGCCAATCATACTGTTGGCTTTTTCAGAGCTTCACTGAAACTGATTCGTATTTTACTCTGGACCTGCTTATATATTGTTTGAGGGGGGCAGAGCTAAATTAGCGGCATAAACACCGTCTCGGATGACTGATCCCCATATTGATGACAGATAGAGACCTGAGTCGCGGTTAAGATTGTTAGGTTGTTTATAGATTTGTATAGATTGTCGGATTTTTCGTTGGTAGAAGAACTGATTACATGCAAAAATTTTAGTTTTATCGAATAAAATGTTATGTCCGGTTTCATGAGTGTGTTCGGCAACAGCCGATGAGTTTATTTGTCTTAGAGGTAAGGCTCTTTCGTGTTCTTTGAGCCAGCTGATATTTTTCGTCCGGTCTCTCCAATTTATTCTTTGCCGCATATGCATGGAATGCTGTAAACTCCTGGCATCGCAAATGGAATTTTGTTTTTGACGGACCGAAGATGTTGAGAGATTTTTGAACAAATGGTAAATCTGGTTTTGACGTTATACTTCTTTGGAACTTTTGATATGTGGTCAGTGATCGCTATTGGATGGTTGTGGTGAAGTGTATTTTTTGATAGAACGCTCAATATCTTTCATGTGGAAATTATTAGAGGGAAGAGCAGAGGTAAGGTGTTTTAATTCTGGGTTCAGTGACCCGGGCTGAGATAGTTTTACGGCTCTGTAAACAAGTGAGTTGATAACCGATGATTTTTGTGCCGGATGGTGATGTGACGATGCATTAAGGTATCGGTCTGTGTGCGTAGGTTTTCTGTAAACACAATGACCCAATGTTAGGTCTGATTTTCTATTGAGAATATCTAAGAATGGAAGGTTATTATTAGTTTCCAACTCAATGGTAAAACGTATGTTATTGTGTATAGAGTTTAAATGGAAATGTACTAGGGTTTCTTGACCATGAGGCCAAATAACAAAAGTATCATTCATGTAGCGTTTAAATAGTTTTGGTTTTAGATGAAAGGTGTCGAGAGCTTTCTTCTCAAAGGCTTCCATAAATATAATCGCGATGACTGGTGATAGTGGGGAACCCATAGCTGTTCCCGAAGTTTGTTAAAAAATTTGACCGTTACAAGAAAAATATGTTCCCGATAAGCATTTTTCAACTAAGGTGAGAAGGTTGGGTTCCAGAATCTCGGATTTTAATATATCTTAAATGATGTCTAGAGTTTCGGGAATAGGAACTTTGGTAAAGAGGAATTCTACGTCGAAACTAACTAGAATATCTTGTGTATCTAATGTAATGCTTTTTAATTGTTCAATGAAGTGAAAGGAATTAACTACGAAACCGAACAATTAAATTAAAAAGCATTACATTAGATACACAGGATATTCTAGTTAGTTTCGACGTAGAATCCCTCTTTACCAAAGTTCCTATTCCTGAAACTCTCGACATCATGTCAGATATATTAAAGTTCGAGAATCTGGAGCCAAAACTTCTCACCTTAATTGCAAAATGCTTGCCGGGAACATATTTTTCTTATAACGGTCAAATTTTTGAACAAACGTCGGGAACAGCTATGGGTTCTCCACTATCACCAGTCATCTCGAATATATTTATGGAAGCCTTTGAGAAGAAAGCTCTCGACACCTTTCATCTAAAACCAAAATTATGGAAACGCTACGACGATGATTCTTTTGTTATTTGATCTCTTGGTCAAGAAACCCTAATAGATTTTCTTAGATATTTAAACTCTATACTCCCAAACATACGGTTTACTATTGAACTAGACACTAATAATAATCTTCCATTCTTAGATATTCTTATCAATAGAAAATCAGACCTAACATTGGGTCATTGTGTTTACAGAAAATCTACGCGCACAGACCGATACTTTAACGCATGGTCACATCACCATCAGAGTTAAAACACCTTACTTCTGCTCTTCTCTCTAATAATTTCAACATTAAAGATTTTAAGCGTTCTATCAAAAAATACACTTCACCAAAACCTTCCAATAGCGATCACTGACCACATATCAAAAGTTCTAAAGAAGTATAACGTCAAAACCAGATTTACCACTTGTTCAAAAATCTCTCAACATCTTCGGTCCGTCAAAAACAAAATTCCATTTAAGATGCCATGAGTTTACAGCATTCCATGCATATGCGGCAAAAATATCAACTAGGCTTAAACAACACGAAAGAGCCTTACCACTAAGACAAATAAACTCATCGCTGTTGCCGAACACACTCATGAAACCGGACATAAAATTTTATTCGATAAAACTAAAATTTTTGCATGTAATCAGATCTTCTACCAACGAAAAATCTGAGAGAATAGAAATCTATATACAACCCAACAATCTTAACCGCGACTCAGGTCTCTATCTGTCATCAATGGGGGAAGTTCGACACAGCAAAAACCGATGCCGGAGGAATCCAGAAATTTTTGTAAAAAGTATGACAGTACCCTGTGGAAGTTTCTTTGAAAAATTTATTTATTTATTTAAATGGAACCCCCTGTATTGGCCTTGTGGAATTGTCCGGTTAAATTTTTTTTTGTCAATTGACCGAAATGATTTTGAAAATACAATGAAGTTTATATTTATTTATATTCTCCGTTCTGAGAACTAAATGGATTTGATAGTTTTATTGGGATTTCCCGAATTACTAAGTATCGTAAAAATTATTATATGATAATAGATAACACTCTACAATTGCAAAATATTATATTTTTTACTACTCAATTAAGAAGTGACCAATTGAACAGCTACACTGTATTCAGGGTGAGTCGAAAAGATGGGTCAACCCCTTATTGACAAATTGTTTGAAATTATGCCCTATAATGCAATTTTTCATTTTCGCCCACTTTATTTAAAGAAATAACATTTTTATTTCTCTTTCCCTGTTTTTCAATTGGTATGCATAATTGTCCCGCAAATAAAAACGGCATACTAGCAGAAAAAGGTGCTGTCCTGTGTCCTATGACTCCACTATATTTTTTCGATGTACGCCTCTGGTCGTAAAACTCACATTGTTTGATATACTTTGCATAATTTTTCTTATCTTATGTATTCCCGATTACAATTTCAGTTTTTAGATATTAACATATATATTAATTAAATAATTCATAATTAAATAAATCAAGTGAAAAATCGAGTGAAAAATGACTTTTTTGAAAAATATTGTAACACCTGCGTCAATATTGTAGCTTTGCTCAGCTTTTTATCAAAAAATCATTTAACTATGTCGGAATTTGCCTATTTTCTCTCTTGAAAATAAAAATTACAAATAGCAATTTTTTATTTTTGAGAATTTTTTCTTGGCTACAATTAAGATAAAAGAACGTTATTTACTATTGGTCATTTTTCAACTTTTAATTTATTAATTATTGTATAATGTTTTAAAAACTACAACTGTTATCAAAAATACATAAGAGACAAAAAGTGTAAAGTAAGAGGTTTATTAAACTAAATAAGTT